CCCATAATAGTCCGGAAAAAAAAGATGAAGCTTCTCAAAAAACTGGAAATATATTATCTCAAATTTTATCAGGTACAGTCCGTCAAGGAATTGCATTTCTTACATTAATTTAATATTATAATTAATCTTCGCTTGTTCAATCGACACCAACAGCTGATGATGTATCATAACAAGATACAGGAAATGTTGATGATAATGCTTCAGCTTCAATATCTTATACTGAAACTCGTACTGGCCCTGATTACGATAATATTTTAACTTCAACACCCCATACCGAAGGACCATTCGTGTTGGTTGTTCCAGATGAAATTCTCAAGTCTTCAACATCCAATAATCCTACAAAAAGTATCGAAAGTGGCAAGCAAAAAAAAATCAGGGTAGATCATTAACGCCCATTGTTGGTAATAATTCAACAAGAAATCTTGAAAATTCTTCAACTAAACCCGATGATGATTCAAACCGAAGAACTTCCACACCTATCAGAGCACCCACACCTATCAGAGCTTCTACACCTATCACACCTATGCAAATTGATGATGAACATTGTAACTTCGAAGAACGTAACGAACATTACCTTACAATCGAGAAATTAAACTATACTATGAAATTATTAGACGAAAAAATCACTTTAATATATCGATTGTGCTGACGTATTAGTGAGCAACAACGATTAGATTCTCAAATGATACAGAGACTTGTGGTGGTCGATGAGCTTTCAGATGAATTTTAGAACGTAAGTTACTTTAATATATTTAGCAACTTTATTTGATCTCAAGATATTTAAAAATAACTAATTGTCTTTACAGCGCGCATATAAAAAGGTGTCCAAAGAACTTATTCCAAAGATCCTATTTCCCTCAGATATGGAGTACCGTGAAGCTTTAGAGAAATACTTCGCTGAACATGCCAGTCATTATATTGAAAATCTTGGAAGAAATACGTGGATTTCCCTATTCGAATCAAAGTTATTACCAGAAGTACATGAAATCATTAATAATAATCAATAATAATAATAATAATAATCCGAAATTATTTGATTATTAAGATAAAAAACAAATGCCGAAGCAAGCAAAATGATTTAGCGGCAAATATTTGAAATACTATCATGTTTTCTAACTTCGGTGAGCAGAAGTTAGAACGTGTGGATAGCAGTGCGTCCTCTAAAAAGATTGCCGAATGGAAAAAAAGTGCAAAAACGCGAGAAGCATATTGAGAACTTTTCAAAAATCAAGGTATTCTCACGAAAATAACCTCTTCTGTTTTCAAATCATACGAAGGCAGTGAGCTTCCTTCAGAACACTGAGTTTATGTACTCGTTATCTGCGATATTGTCTTAAATCCCAGTAGCCCTGGGATTAAATGCAACGACAAGTTAGTTTTAAAGAGAGTTGATTTTCTTATGGTAATAATAACGTTCATCAGTACTTTGAAGTTAAAAATTTTAAAATATTTCGCAAATATTAATGTATAATCAATTATCAGCAATCGATCAAAAATAAAGTTACTGTAACTACGCGATTGTTGCAGGAGTTAGCGGAGAAAGAAGATTCAGAACAAAGTCCAGAGATTTCGTCTATAATCGAAGAATTGAGCGATGCTGATGATGGTAATAGTAGTAGTTACGAAGAATTAGTAAGTCAAAGTTATTATCTGGTATATAATGATTTTTACACCGCGTTAATTTATTTTACTAATCTAAATCAAAAAAATTTACAGCTCAAGAGTTTAGATTCGAAATTCTCTTGACATTCGTCGAATTTTTTCGTATTACATTAATTTTCAGAATTCGGAAATTTGTATTTGAAATTCTTCAATTTTTTTTGAATATATTTTATTAAATAAATTACATATTAAATAAATTACTATATATAAAATTGTTTGTAATAATTGTGATGATCAGTGAAATTAAATATATTTGAATTATTTTGAATATTTATTTTTTAAAAATTTTCGCAGAATTTTGCTTCTTGAAATTCTGCGCAGTTTTTGATGAATTTTTTTTTCCAAAGACTGCCGACAGGATCACAGATCTGCGCAAAAATGTCACCTGCAGATCTGCGCAGATCTGCATTCCAAAAAATTTTCCGATGTCTGGTTATGAAGGGTCACACCCAGATCAGGGATTTGATTGCCAGAAGGAGCACTATTGGTATCCATATCAGGTGACGCGTTAAGGGGTTGTTGCTTGTCTTTGTTTGAAGGTGCATGCATGGACGCGTCCACATTACCAGGAGACGCGATGTGACTGGGCGCAGTTGGCGCAGCAGATTTTTTCGAGGAGGAGGTCAAAGTATTTTCGCCAGAGATATTTTGTTGAGAAGAAGAAGAAGGACCATCTTTTCCAACGTCAGCCATCTGGGCGTCGGCAACGTAATCTTCATCCATAGAGTTTTTGGTAATCATACGGTTACGCTTTTGCTGGATAGTGTTTTCACTATCGGAACTTGAATTATCAGAGTCTCTTTTATGTTTATTTTCATGACAGACAGTTTTCCTACTGTTAGAGGTATAACTGCTACAGCCTCTCTTGGTATAGTTACCAGACATATTAGAGGACTTTGGGTTGGAAATATAAAATTTTATTAGTAGTTTGTATTATTTTTTAAAAATAATAAAAAATTATTTTCGTCAGAAATTTTCATTTTTGAAAAATTCAGGAGAGAGTTTATGATATATACCGTATAAGCACTGCCTAAAATTAGAGGTGCGCTCCGGATGAATCTGGTCAATCCGTCATCTGGATGATCACGTGACGGATCAATCCGGATTAAAAAAATCGGATTATCGGATTATCCGCAGATTGACCGGATTGATTATAATTCCAGCCAGAATTAAGTAATCGGCATGAAATTATCCTTTTTAGGGTATGAGTAACATTACACAAATCCAAGAAAAGGAAATTTTGTTTCCCAGCAAAAATGAAATTTGGAGTTTCACAAGAATTCTAAAAAGGATATTTTTCGCCGATCATTTAATTTCAGCCGGAATTTATGATTAGGTATTTAATTGTTGTCACGTGACGCACGGGTATGTCGATCGTTTCCATTTATGGCGATACCCATTCCACAAAAAACCAGTTTTTCTAAATTTAGTTTCCGGTCGTGTAACATAAAATTTCCTAAAAAGGAAATTTTTTTGTCGATCCCGTATAGGATTGATCGGATATCCGGTCATCCATCCGGTCTATTTGACGGATTCATCTGATCAATCCGAATCTGCCTATTAGACGGATTGATCCTAGGATAACCGGATTGATCAGATTCGGAGCCTACCTCTACCTAAAATACCCTGGGTATATATCAATTTCACCAACTTAAAAATTGAATTATACCCAGGGGTATCTTGTATGGAATATGGAAAAATTGGCCAGAATTAGCTGAATTCTTACCAGAATTAAGATTTTTTAACCACATATCATACCTGGGTATATTATAGTGGGGTACGTAGATAGGGAGGTCTTTTAGGCAGTGCTATACGGTATTATAGGCAAATGCGGCATAGTAGCCTTTATCTTTATTAAATTTATTCGAATATTCTTTACAGAAACCTTAAATTTTTGAATAATACCGAATTGATATAGTAATGATGTTAAATATATATCGTAATGATATCGATTTGCAAATGATATCATTATGATATCGCAATGATATCATTTCAATATTAATTCAATATATCGACATGATGTCGTAAAGATATTTGTTTTGAAAAAATATCAGATTGATATCATTTCGATATTGTTATAACAATAATGAAAAATAGAAAGTAAATACGATATTAATATGATATCGTTCTAACATTAATTCAATATCAATATGATATCGTAAAGATATCACTTTATAATTATCTAATCGATATTGACAAATAACGAAACGATATCATTTTGATATTGTTATATCAATAATGATTTTTTTTTAATAAATGCAATATCAATATAATATTATTTTAATATTAATTCAGTATCAAAATAATATCAAAATGATATTATCTATAAAAATATCAAATCAATCAAATATCGTTAAATTCAATTTTATAATATTTTAATAATTTGTAATCTAATTTAAAAGTTAATTTCAATAGATTTAAGTTACCGGTTATTTATTACAATAACAATTTTAATTACAGATAAAGTATACATTAGTTTAAATATTATATAACAGATAAAAAAAATATCAATAAATCTATAATAAACTAATTCAATAAATTAGAATTATGAGTTAAATTGGTGATGTAAATCAAAACATTACTTTACTAAAAATGGTTATTTTTTGAAATACTTTTATAATATTCTTATTATACTTTTGTAATACTGACATTATTTTGTAATGGTTGAAATTGTTTTTATATATTTCGCAATTAATTACAAAGATTATATCACAAGGGCTAATAAAAGTATTACAAACCATAATTTCAAAACAATTTAAATATTATGTTGCAATGGTGTTTGTAATTGATTTATTATTAATAATATAATTATAAATTGAAATTATTATGAAATTGTATTGCAATATTTATAATATTAATATAAAATTGTATTGCAATGGTTTATATATCTTAATATGAAATTGTATTGCAATACTATTGCAATGGTTTATATATCTTAATATGAAATTGTTATGAAATTATATTGAAATAGTTGTAATAATATAAATC